TATAATCAAAAGCTTGTTATTAACTTTGAAGCGGCAGTTTGAAAAGGCTTTTAAATAGAAACAAGATAAATATGCTGTTGATGGTTTCTGACGGTTATTTATAGTGTTATTTTTCTGTGTAAAGTTGAAATGTATTGATTTCTAGAAATTAGTGGTATGGTAAATACTTCAGTTAAAAATCATACAAGTAACGATTATGGTGTGATTGATGATAGCAGTGTTGTAACAAAGTAAGAAGACCATTTAAGTTCTACTGGCATTGGAAGGATTTCTAGGGATAATAGTACACAAATCGTTGAAAATTAGTCATCATGATCTAAATTCTTTTTATTAAAAATACAAGACAAAAATACGGTGTACAAAATTCTTTATCAAAACAGAGGGTTGCTTACGCTGATCCCGAACATTCTGTAGCTGTTCTGGAAATATCATGATGCGTACTGAGTAACTTTTAGAATTAGTGCGCTGTCATCACAATATTTTGATATTTAATCCTTATCCTCCCAAGCCTATTTCAGACATAACAAATAGAATGTATTTCATACTTCGATCCATACAAAAAAGAAATTTCATCTCATTTTCTTGTTTTTTGAGAACAGGGTCTAAATAAACTCTGGTTGGTAGTACAAGGGTTAAACAAGCCATTAGTTTTGAAACATTGTTATCTCGTCTCTTGTATTTTATGTTCGACGACTCGTCTTACGTATTCAAATTGCATGAAACAAATCTCACCTATTCTCCATTCACATATTTCGGTTTCTTTTCTGAAGAAACAAAATCTGAAAAAATAGCAACAACAACAACAAATAGTTGCTTTTCAGTTTTTTTTCAGTAGATTTTCTATCATCTCTCTTTCTGTTTTCTCATTCGATACTTTGTTGTCTTCTGAAGAACCAATGTATATTATTCTCTAACTGTAGTTTTTCGCTAAAATGATTCGACTCATCTCATTTTCGAAATATTCTTTTAGGCCTATTGTATTCGTCATATTATCATCGATTGTTAACTACTCAAAAAGACAATGAATATGTTCGTTTTTTATCTATCACTAGCGCGAAAGATTTTTGCTATTTATTTTTGTTTTATGTATTATATTAACAAATCTCAATGTTGTTATGTTTATTTCTTATATGATTGATAAATATGTGAAAACAGTCTTTTTTCTACTATTATATCTATACTGAATAGATATTCAAAACAACGGATAAAATGTAATCAGATACAATAATTAAACGCTATTTTCTGTGCGTTTCTTCTTCTCTGTTATATAGTAAACCCAAAGAAATCATTATATTAGAATTATCTGAACAAACATGAGATGAAAGGAACACTGGATAAAGATGTAAAAATGTGTTTTTAAGAAATGGATTTTTTTTTGAATTAGTTGTGTAAAATAAAAGTTTCTCATATTCTTATTTAAGAGCACACTTTTCTCCTATTCGCCATACATCATAGTGCCTAGTCGTAGCTGTTCTGATAAATAGCATATATATTATATTCTCATGCGTGCGTGCATAGCAGCAAATCACCGCTCCTATACACAGTTGTTTCTAGCACAGTTTGACCAGCTTACTCTACTGTCAGAGTAAAATTCTATCAACTTTTTTTTTGCATTTTGTTTTCTTATAATTTTCGACAGAGCTCTGGATCCTCTCAGATTAAAGACAAAATGTGTTGAAGGTTTTTAGACGCACCTGCACTTCGTATGATCTTCTGTTCGGAAAAGATGATAAAAATACAAACATCTAGTTTTTCTGATATCATCGCACTTTTTTCCTTTAATTTAAGACGCCCCACAGCTCTGAAGACCTCGCTAATCGTAAATTATTGGTGTATGTATCCATGACTATGCCAAAATAAACTGAACTGAACTGAACTGAAATTATAATAAACCAAAATATAAGAATCCGTGAAAGAATTTCATTCCGGTAGTAATGAAGCTGGTCAAGCCGATCATCTATCTGCTGAGCTGATGCAACAGACTCCTTTTTCTATGTTCTTTTTGTATCCAAACTTTATACCGTCAGGATTTATCTGAATATGGTAATCGTATCAATTAGTACATTTTTTGTGTTCTAAGACGAAATCTGTTTTGTTAGTTAATATTGTCAGATATCGGCCAGTGTACAGTTTTTGAGTTTGAGTCTTATTTAGCTTCATAGAGCGACCATTTAAACAATTCTCCATGAGCAGTTGGTTACACTTGAAATATTACATTTTGAGAAACTTTCGTTTTATAAATAATTCATTAGTTTAATAAAATATTTATTTGCGATCTGAGTGATACTAACAAGTGGAGAGAAAAGAGCATTCCATTGTGTGCGTATAATTTCGCAATATTTTAAATCAAAAATTCGTATCTGTATTTGCATATACATATGATCGAATTACGAGTGTTTTATCGAAAAAGAAGAAACTACATCAATCCAGGTGACACTGCTTGAGTCGTCGTAGATGCTACTGTTCCTACTGGAGGTGCGACTGTAGGTGCAGCTGTGGCAGCTCCAGCTCCAGCTGATTCTGAAAAGAAAGTTGAAATGCTTGACACAGTCATCTGTTTATCATTCGATACTTACGTATCGGTGATACGGGACCTGGTGTTACGATAATTGTTTCACCAGCAGATGGAAAGAAAACTGGAAATGGTGGTGTATTTTGTAATATACCACTCAATATTGTTCCTTTATTTGCAATACATTGACCAGCACATCCTCTTCCGCATTGAAGAGTAGTTGTGAGAATTATTTGTTGACCGACTGCTTGACGTTTATACAGTGAACTAAATTGCACATATATTTTTAAAATGAAGTCATACCATTGTGAACATAGAAAACTTACAATCGTTTTTTACGTCTGCCTGATGACACAACTGTTCCACTTTGAATCACGGGTCTACATGGAAAAAGTCGACGATTGTTTAGGTATATTCGATCAAGCTAAGATAAACTAACATGCTAATGAATGGTATTCAATACACTAGAGTTATGTTCATACTTGAGCTTGTAATGCAGCAATATCTCCTGCACTTAATGGGCCAACTGGTAATGTGCCGTTAGCTAAATTGAGCGTTATCGTAAATGGTGCAGATTCTAAATGCACAGGAAAAATTTACATTATGAATTACTCAGCGCGTAATATGTCTTACGTGATGCACCCGGATTTTCCCCTTTTCGTTTAAGATAAACCGGTATCAGAGAAAGAACAATTGTTGAAGCGACAAGTAAACCAAGTAAACCCAAACAGCATATAGCAAGAAGTGGCCATGGAACAGGTCTAAACAGATAATGTTTCAATGCATTCACTGCGTTATTATGCAATTTTTACGTCTACGAGATATTACGCTGGCGAACTTGCAGCGGGAGCGGGGACTGGGGCAGGCGGAACCAGATGAACCACTGCAGGACCTTGTACAATGTGTGCGACGCCTGTAGCAGCCATTCAAATTCAAAAACACCTGAAATAAATCAGAATATATCGAATTATTTTCAGATTTGTAGTCAGGATCATTTAGTCTGATAACAGGTCATATAAAACTAAATTCTTTCCCAAGACTTTTATGGCTCTTTTGTTTGAAAAATATTTATTATAAATTTAAAACTGACTGACTTTAAAATCGACTGAAACTTAGTCGATGATTCAACAAAAATGTCTGTACCCGGACGTTGTATCACATTATTAGTAAAAAAACTTTGGATATACTGATTTATCATGAGACTGCAGGATTAACTGCAGAAAGATTGAATTCAATGTAAAAAAAAAGCACTTACTGATTTAATTGTATTTGTTAGTCGAATAGATGAGAGTTACTTAAAAACAATATGAATATTGAAATAAATATAAGCTTTCGGTTCTTTAAATACGATTTCAAAATTTCTTTGCATGAATGATTTCTTTTCTGATATCTATATCTAGTACATATTTTCTTTTGTTCTAAGCTCATCAAGTAAAATACTAGCACACCTTCATCTATGCTCTTTCGTAATAATCAAATTTTCCTTCATTTCAACCAACATGATTAGCGTTTTGTCATGTTTTGTTATTATTTGATGATAATGATGTTTTTTGTGTTTTATGTTAAGTTTTGAATTCGCTATTAAAGTTTTTTTCTCATCACTGCTTATTATGCAGTTTCCATTGAAAAATCAAATACAAAGAATATTTAGCCTGAAAGTCGAGTTTATTTGCACTTGTCAATAGAGGATCAAATTAGAAAATTGTATTTTGCTAGTGGATTGTGGAACAGAAAAGAGTTCTTCTTTATGTCGATAGATATTTTGGATTTGTTCAGGGATTTTTGTTGTTGTTTTTTCTTGTTTAGTCATCGTTTTTGCAAAAAGTGACTCGTATGATCTAGAGAACTACGTAACGTAGAGACATTCTGAAAATGGGAGATAGCTCTATGGATACTGAATTGGACCATTTCACGTTCGATTTTTAAATAACCGTCCAGATTCGGCGAGATGAGTTTCACAAATGGAAGAAAAATGTGTCTTGGACTTTGAACTTTTTCACTGTTAATAGTTGTCCGGCGCTATATTTTTTTTATTTGTAGACAGAATGAATCTGTGTACATATCTTCTTAGTGAATTTCTGTTTCCACATACATACATCTAATAAAAGGTATACTAAGTGATTACCAGTTCTTTAAAACATAGAAGACGTGAAAGACTGATTTTAAAAGCTTATTCACTGATTGTTGAAACGATTTAGAGTAATCACAATAAGAAGAAAAAAGGACCGATAATTACTCCGCTGGAATTACTACAAGCCTCTTTATTATATTTACTACTTTTTATCCTTTATGTATTTGCTGAAAGGATGGTTTACTCTGGCGTTATGCCATCTAAGCACATAGCCTCAAAATTATGCTGGTTTTCTTGCTGATTGATACTGTGAAAAGTTACTGCTTCAACATGTGCCGTAATGTTCGATAGTTAGAAGTGTCCACATTGCCTATCGACATCGCAATTTGTACATAGTACAATTGCATTCTAGTTTAATTCTTGGATTTTGGCACGCTCTATTGTACTATCTGTATGTAGATTATCATTGATCAGAATGACGTTTTTCCCTAATCATATGATGTAGATGTTCAGACAAACGAGTTTTGTATGAGTGGCCATTTTGTGAATTATATAAGAGCAGAGGAATGATCTTGTGGTGCACTAACAGTGGCAAATGAAGTTAAAAGTTTCGGTTTTTAGATGCCACTTTGTATCCATCATACTTAAATACATCAAAATCTATCTAGTCTTTAGAATCCTCACTTCGTCCGCTATCGAATGACTCTGTATGTACCGGTATCGGTATTCATACCGAAAATACCAACTTTTTTCGATTTGGACTCTTTTCATTTGAAATGAGATATTTTAGCGTCATGGGCAGCCAGAACACAAAAACACTCGACGAAAAAGCTGGAGTTCTCGATTGTTTTGTTGTTTCTGTACCCATTGTCACTATCACGTGCAGGGTCGTAATATAATAACTCATAAATCATGTATTCGTCTATCCTTGACTATTCTTGAGAAGAATAGAGTATTGCCTTCTACGGCCGGCTGTTTTATAACAAATGAGTGTAAATTTGTTTATAATTGTCATTCGGCTTTATTATACTAATCATTGTTATATCATTATTAT